ATATATATATATATATATATATATATATATATATATATATACCGTTCATGTAAATTAAGTGACGTCAGTCATTGCACTGGACAACAATAGCAAAAATGTTGTCTGCTACTGTGTACCTATCACGTGGTTTGAACCACACCGAGTGTGCTCATCCCAAATCTTGTTTCCGAGTGTGCTCATCCCAAATCTTGTTTCAGATATCGTGCAGCACGTCATGGACTGAAGTTATGTAGCTTTATGTGAAATTAAATCGTGTATTATGCAAAACAATTATAGAGCTAGTAAACTGTGCGATTATAGCCCGTAACTCAGAGAAGTCCTAACAACTAAACAAAGTGTTATTCTTACATAACTTGAATTTTAAAATAAACATTTAAGCTAATTCCAGTATTAAATTGAATTTTCGTGTTTTTTGTTTTTTAACATGACGAAATCTATGAAACAAAACAATACAATTTAGGGAAACATAATCATATCATACGAGTCGTATGATAATGTTTTAAAATCTAATATAAATATATGTATATTAAGATTACTCATATGAAAGGATGCATTTCAAAACTTTGAATCCAGCTTAACTCTATACGAGCTCGAAACTGACTTAGGCACTCACTCTTGTGCAGGTATCTCAAACTCAAATTATTCTGGTTCTGGTTCTGATAATGTTTCGTTGCTGCATCCATGTACTGGCATTTTTGCAACGGTTGGGGGTATAATAATAATAATAATAATAATAAAGTGTATTTCAAAAACACGCTTCATCCCCAAAGGCTCGAAGCGCGGTACAAAGTCAACAAAATACAAATCTATAATTTACCACATTTAAAACAAACGCAACACTACAAAAACTAATTACTAGCATACAATTGCAAAGTCTTTCTAGCCATTTCAACCCCAAGCAACACATCCATTATGCATTAACTGGAAAATAAGGTTGACAATCATCCCAGAAGGTGTTTGCGAAATAGGTGTGTCTTTAAATTGGTTTTAAAGGACTCCAGTGTCTGGTTGTTTCTGAGATCGACAGGAAGGGCGTTCCAAATTGTTGGACCAGCAAATGCGAAAGTGCGCTTTCCGTAAGTCTCAAGGCAAACACGTGGTGTCGAGAGTTTGCCACTATCGGATGAGCGGAGCTCTCTAGTGGGTACATAAGGCGTAAGCAGCTCTTTCAGATAGGACGGCGCCAGGTATGATGTTGCTATTCTAATAGCTCCTAGCTGATGCCAGGGCAGCCTTGAAGCTTTCGACCGATGTCGAGTTCACAGTTGCATCGTTCAGGTTGTTCCATGCTATTATTGTTCGTGGAAAGAAAGATTGTTGATACTGCACTGTGTTGCACTGAGGTACTTTGAAGCATTTGCTATTGTTTCTGGCGTAATTGTTTACGGGAATGTCAGTGGTGAAATCAGTGTTCAGTAAGCGTTTTGCTCTGATCAGTCTACCAGGCTTCTGTGGGGTGATGTGCCTTCTGGGATGGCCGGCACCAGTCCCATGATCACTTTATATAAGAATGTCAGGCGGAGTCCCTCTCGTCTGTCTTCAAGGGGAGGGATGTCAAATCTTTTTAAGAGGCCAGTGACGAAACCAGGAGTGGTGGATTTGTAGTCGCGAGCGATAAAACGCACCGCGTTACGTTGAATTCGCTCCGTCGTGTCCATGTCTTGCTTAAGGTGTGGGTCCCAGATGATAGCACCATATTCCAGTAGTGGACGGACGAGTGCGAATAGGCATTCCGTTTACAGGGCCGCATCAAGTATTCCACAAAAAAGTGATTACGAATACAATAAATCTGCTCAACCTTTGTTAATAACAAATACACACATGAAGGGTTCTCAAGAACTAGGCTTCAGTTACTTCCTCCTAATCCTTGTTGCCAGTGACCTGGCAGCGCTTCTTCCTTGCTCTTGGTAGGGAGATTTAGAAACCAACTTAATAAATGAGGCTCCAGTAGTCAGAGAGTTAATTTACTAATTATGACGTAATTTTTGAGGTATGAAATATTTAAATAAATATTGCTCGATAATTAAAAATAATAATTTAATATATGACTCTTCACGACGGTTAGAAAAAAGCTTTGAGTTTTGCTCTAGTGTTGAAAAGAGACGGTTGGTAACAATGATCTTTCGGCTGATATTGAATCAACAAACATTCTTCTACAGTTTTAGTGACATC